GGACATCGGCAATTTGTCGACATACTGTTTACTGGGTATGAACTTTCCGTACAGGGGTGTGAAAAAGGTAGTTCCGAAACTTTGGCCAGCTTCCTTAGATTTGAAGATATTCCTCAAAAACTCAGCTGAGAGCTAAGTCGACTTGAATCGTTTTACCGCTTCGCTACTGGATTAAAGCATTGCGAGCACATGTAGCTCGTCTTAGGCCATTTAGGTAATGTTAGTTACATAGACCTAGTTAATTAGAGATAAAGTTGACGAGGTACTGAGGACGAGAGCATTAACGTTTAGATGTTTAGAGACTGTTTTTAGGTGTTAAAAAAAAGTAATTGAATTATATATCTAAGGACCCTGAGTCTGATTGTGACTGTGAGTCAATAGAATGAGGCGACCTGTTTTTTATTCATCACTGTCCAGTGATTTGTGGAAAATTTCGAAAGTTCCTCGACTCTATGTTGTCGGAGATTTTTTTTCAATGAGCAGAAGGCGATTTTTAACTGAAGGAATGGCCAATTTGTTGTAATGAATTTTTCTTGGACTTGTAATTTCCGATTTTCGTTGTTTCCAATTCGAAATATGGTAGCACTGACTTGATTATTGTATTCCATCGATTTTAGTACTGCCAATCCGGTGAGTTATTAATTACGTAATGTTAATTTAGTCTTAAGATAAATTATTTGATGATTAATTCAGAGGACAAGGGGTGAAACGTGAGTTGATGAGATTAGGGGAAATGTCTCTCGATATTTTCTCATAAAGAATGAAATTTTTGACTCGTTTCATCACTCGACTGCTGAACTGTATAATTAGGATCCGTATAATTTATATATATTGTATATAATAATGTTTCCACTCGAAGGTATACATCACACGACTCATAATGAAATACTCGAGACGATGAGAATAAAAGTTCTCCAGTGCACATATCTTTGATAACATTTCATTAAAAGTAAAAAGCAATGTAAATGAAAAAGTGAAAAAGGAAAAATTTTCTTGACTGTTGAATACCAAATAATAAAATTATATGCATTATCATGGAAAATGTCGAGTGGACATGTTTTAAAATGAGGTAATTTGGACAATATTATTGTCCATTGATACTCATTGAAATTATTTCCAATTTATCGATAAATGAACTAATGAAAAACAAGTTAAAAATTGAGGAAATGATGAAGGATATACAGAGTTAGTCTCTTTAACGTATTTGATCTCATGTGATGTTGAATACAATGTTAATGGGTTGTTTATAATAACGAGAGAAACACAATGTGCATGTGTAATCGAATCACGAAACAAAGTTGAAAGAGTGAATAAATAAAAATATTGAACAGAATGAGAATTTTTTGTTATTTTTACACTTTTTTTTCGTAGAGAATTAAATTCTCCATGAGAAATATCTCTTGACATTTTCTTGTAAATTCACCCATTACCAAGACAGTTGTATAATTAACAAAATAAAAGTAACAAAATGTGAATGAAAGAGTGAAAAATGGGAAATTTTTTTGACTGTTAAATACCAAACGATAAAATTGAATGTATTATCATGGAAAATGTCGACTGGACATGTTTTAAAATGAGGTAATTTGGACAATATTATTGTCCATTGATATTCATTGAAATTATTTCCAATTTATCGATAAATGAACTAATGAAAAACAAGTTAAAAATTGAGGAAATGATGAAGGATATACAGAGTTAGTCTCTTTAACGTATTTGATCTCATGTGATGTTGAATACAATGGTAATGGGTTGTTTATAATAACGAGAGAAACACAATGTGCATGTGTAATTGAATCACGAAACAAAGTTGAAAGAGTGAATAAATAAAAATATTGAACAGAATGAGAATTTTTTGTTATTTTTACACTTTTTTTTCGTAGAGAATTAAATTCTCCATGAGAAATATCTCTTGACATTTTCTTGTAAATTCACCCATTACCAAGACAGTTGTATAATTAACAAAATAAAAGTAACAAAATGTGAATGAAAGAGTGAAAAATGGGAAATTTTTTTGACTGTTAAATACCAAACGATAAAATTGAATGTATTATCATGGAAAATGTCGACTGGACATGTTTTAAAATGAGGTAATTTGGACAATATTATTGTCCATTGATACTCATTGAAATTATTTCCAATTTATCGATAAATGAATTGAGGAAATGATGAAGGATATACAGAGTTAGTCTCTTTAACGTATTTGATCTCATGTGATGTTGAATACAATGGTAATGGGTTGTTTATAATAACGAGAGAAACACAATGTGCATGTGTAATTGAATCACGAAACAAAGTTGAAAGAGTGAATAAATAAAAATATTGAACAGAATGAGAATTTTTTGTTATTTTTACACTTTTTTTTCGTAGAGAATTAAATTCTCCATGAGAAATATCTTTTGACATTTTCTTGTAAATTCACCCATTACCAAGACAGTTGTATAATTAACAAAATAAAAGTAACAAAATGTGAATGAAAGAGTGAAAAATGGGAAATTTTTTTGACTGTTAAATACCAAACGATAAAATTGAATGTATTATCATGGAAAATGTCGACTGGACATGTTTTAAAATGAGGTAATTTGGACAATATTATTGTCCATTGATATTCATTGAAATTATTTCCAATTTATCGACAAATGAACTAATGAAGGACAAGTTTAAAACTGATGAAATGATGAAGAACATACAAAGAGTTAGTCTCTTTAATGTATTTGATCTCATGTGATGTGAATACAATGTTAATGGTTTGTTTGTAATAACGAGAGAAACACGAAATGCATGTGTAATCGAATCACGAATCAAGGTTGAAAGAATAAATAAACAAAAAAATTGAACATAATGACATAGCTCCTATCCAAATAAACACCCAGAGGAGAAAGGTCCATATACATTTATTGTATAAATCAATGTTTTACAAATATATTATCACACTTGTTACAAATGCTTCACATTATCAAAAGAAAAAATTCCATTTAAAAATCGTTCACCATAAAAAAAATGCTATGGATGGCCGCATTCATTTAAATATGTTACAAATACAATGGTATCGTTAAATAATCTACTCGGTACATTAATCCAATATAAATAAATTGATTATGAAACTTCGCCCCTTCGTAAAAGGTGAAGAATCCCTTTTCGTATTTACATGATTCAAAAAATTATCATTCCCCCCCCCCATGCATTATCCTTAGTCACTCGGTATGACTCCTGACCTCAGCAATCTATCGTTATTTCTATCATTTATCAATAAATAATATCAAATGTTCATGGTTACTAATCAAGCTAGGCTAGTCAATTATTTAATTACTTTGTGGTAAAATAGGTCGGAGGCTTTTTGGAGATAGGCCAACGTTATATCAATTTTTTGTTGGGCTTATAGATATCGTTTGGAGGATTGAAAAATGGGCAAATTTTTTGTGCTCACGAATTTTATTCATTTGCCCGATTTTTCAATGGTTCTCGTGGTGAAATGATTCGTTTGGACACGAAAATATTCATGTCACTTGATTAATTTCACCACTTCACTACATTTGCGCGTAATTATCATTACAATTACATATAATGTACAAGCTTTTGTCTCGGTAACGGACAAAATTACAAGCAATTGCTCTTTATAATTGCTGGATTTATAAAAACGTAGAAAATGGGGCTTCAGGACGCGATTTTTTAATATGCAATCTATTCGATTCTTTAAAGATGAAGTCTATGAGTTAGTTATCGAGTAGAAAAATTTCCATGTGGTTTCCAGATGTGCCTGGCAGTTTTAGGATTTAATGTAGGAATTTGTATGCAATTTGTTTCATAAAAAATCGTTATTTCGTTAAAAATTCAGTTTTTACTTTCGTAGAGATCATTATAAAATTGTATAACGTTCTAAGGTGTATATAAATCTCTCAGGCATTGAAATTCCGTTTAAAATTCCTTGATTTATGTTTTTAATTGAAAATCAGTAAATGCAGGTTTTCCTCAGATTTGAAAAAAAAAAATTGAATTTACGTTGCGAATATCTCCGAAACGGTGGGGTTTATCGAAAAGTTCCATAAGATATTTTTTGTCGGAAATTTAATTATTTACAAAAAAGGTCTTGACACATTTTTCGATAAATCCAATGGTTCTCGAGATAATCGCAAAATAGTAAAGAATCTTATTGAAATGAAAATCTGGGCTCCAAGAGCTCATTTGTACGATCAAACTTATCAAATTAATCAATTAAGAAAATTAAAAAACGGTAGAAAATTAATTACTAGTCTATAAAAGTAGGTTCCAATGAGATCGTAATACTAGGCTGACTCTGCCACTCCTATCCCCTGATTAATTATAATTAAATCATTAGTAAAATGTGAAATTCCATCACTTACTGAAGAAATATGAACAATAGACAGTAAAAAATCGTCTATCGAACTTTAGTTATCAAATTCGGAATATAAAACTCTCCTAGAGACCCTCCAGAACTGTGTCTCAGGTTAAAAATTGGTCTCAACCCCAATTTTAATTGTTAAAATCGAAAATCAATCGTTTCAAAATCCTCACGATTTTTAGAAGGAAAATTCTACAATTTTTCCTCTGTTGTCTTTAACTATGGCAGTTTGTAGCTGTTGACAGAATGATCTGATCATGTGTAAAAAAATTAAACAAAAGAAAAGATGATGGCACTTCAGGAAATTGAAGAATCAAGGCAATGAGACTTTTCTTGATTCAATTCATTCAGTAATAAATCGAGAATATCTCGGTAAACGAATGGATTCAGAGGAATACGTCAAAACACATCATTCAAATTGGGGAATTTAATTCCCCACAGGAAATGCCTTCCAACATTCTCCCCTCAATTATCAGAGATCGACAGGAAAATAATTTCCATTATTAATATTTCATTACAATATCAATGGTTAATGAAAAAAAAATTGAATTGCAATTTCGAAAATCATAATGAATAATAATACCAAATGTATTTTTCATTGCGATACTAATGAGAAATGAAAATGAAAAATAAAGTAAATAATTTTTCAATCAATAATGGTACACAATTAATCTTCATTATTATATCAATGGAAAATGTAAAACAGAAAATACCAATTTCGTTCGTCACAAATAGTGGAAATATTTCAATTTTCGTTATTGATTGAATGATTACTCTAAAATATTCTAATTTCTGATCAGATAAATAATAATTTTTTATTTTTAACTATTACTCATTGATACGGTATTTAAAAAAAATGTGAACATCTCAATATTCATCCACAATATAATGAAAAATATTTACAAGTTAATAGTGATAAAGCGAAAAATATGTATCTGCGGTGCAAATATTGTTGAAAATAATATTTGTGCCGATCTCTGTCAATTATGATCATCAGTCTCACGAATTCCCTCAAAAACCTCTCAACATTCAAACTCCGAGGCCGTGATGGCATTCAAGTCCTTCATGAGGCCCTCCAGGTTGGCCATCTCCTGGTTAAGCTCCTCGGTGCTGTACGAGGGCTTCAGTCTCTCGATCTCCTCAGGGGTGTGAGACGCGGAAGAGACTGAGGCCAGTCGATTCTTCGTCAACTGACTGGTGGAGCCCAGCTGCTTCTTGTAGGGACTCCCCGAGACACTTGGTCTCACCGTTACCTGAGACATTCCATGCTTCTGCTGGGGCGTCGATGGCGCTGACTGTGGAGGGGGCGCTGGGACACTGAAGCTCTTCAGGGGATGCCCCTGAAGACGCTTGACACTCCCAGTATCCGTACCCGTAGAGGAAGTCCCGCCGGTACCACCAGAAGTGCCTGTTCCTTAGAGAGAAAAACAACTGTGAGACGTTTTTATTTTTAATTTATACAATTCAGGGAATTTTCAATTTTTTTTTCATTCGGTTGAAAAATACCGGAAGAAATGAATAATAATGGTTTGAAGAATTAAAGTTGGGGGGACGGTGGCGCGACAACCGATAAAAAGGGAAATCAAAATGGACGGAAAGTGAAGGGATTGTCAGTAGCGCAGGTGGAAGAGCAGCCGACTGGCAATCTGGAGGTCGTGAGTTCAAACCCCGCCCTTGTCAATTTTTTCCGAAATTGATTGATCAAGATTGAGGGTCTTGAGGGTCAGCGACCCTTGTAGGGACGTTTGTAGCTGAGGGGTAAATTGTCTGAAGGGTCAAATGACCCTTGAAGGGTCAAAGTGATACTTGAAGGGATAAACAGCTCTTGAAAATGTCAAAATGAATCTTGAAGGGTCAAATGACCCTTGGATTGCCAGAAGATCCCAGAAGGGACAAATAGCCCTTGAATGTATCAAACTGAACCTGGAAGGGTCGAATGGCTCTTGGTGGTCATAAGGGTCAAACAATCCTCAATGACATTTAGAGTTAAGTCTTAAAATTGGTAAAGGGTTAAACGACCCTTGAAAACGTCAAATGACCCTTGAAGGGATAAACGATTCTTGAAAATGTCAAGATGAAACTTGAAGTGTCAAATGACCCTTGAATATGTCAATATAAACCTGAAAGGGTCGAATGACTCGGTGGTCATAAGCTTCACACAACCCCATTGATATCTAGAGTTGAGTCTTAAAATTGCGTAATGGTTCAAACGACCCTGCAAAACGTCAAAGGACCCTTGAAGAGATAAACGACTCTTTAAAATGTTAAAATAAAACTTGAAGTGTCAAATGGCCCTGGAATATGTCAAAATGAACTTGGAAGGGTCGAATGACCCGCGGTGGTCATACGGGTCAAACAATCCTCAATGACGGCTAGAGTTAAGTCTTAAAATTGTGTAAAAGGTCAAACGACCCTTGAAAACGTTAAATGACCCTTGAGGGGATAAACGACTCTTGAAAATGTCAAGATGAAACTTGAAGTGTCAAATGACCCTTAATGTTTATAACGGTCACATCCCTCAATGACGTTCAGCCAAGTATTAAATTTTCTAAAGAGCCAAGAGACCCTTCAGCATGTCGTTACCTGCATTCCCAGGTCCATTGGAAGACTGTTCCCTCCCACCGTAATGGCCCGCAGCATAATTACTATTGGCAGTGTACGTCGGACCCGTCGACCCATAGGTCAACGAGTTCAGTTGATCGTAGGTGCTGGGCATCGAGCAAGAGTCAGGCGAAGATTCCGGCGTGGGTTCCAGAGTTATATGCGCTCGACTCAGGCTATACTGGGCCACAGTTCTGGGATAAGACGGTCTTGAGCCTGAACCGTCTGTGCAGGAATTGTGAATCGTCGGCTGAGACATGCTGCCATTGACCAATGGCGTTGCTGTTGCTACCGCTAGAGTGATAAATCCCAAAAAAATTAAGAGAACGGGCTTTCTCGAGGTGAAGTTGTCTCGATCAATTCAGTGAGGATCATGAAATATTTTCATTTTCGAAGGATTATAAGAACGCAAATTGTGATGTTTTCTGATTGTGAAACAAAGAAAAAAATTATGATGCACTTACGATGTGTCAATGGTCCACCATCAACAGGTAATGTAATGAGTTTTGGTTTACCACGACTATGTTGTCTGCTCAGGGTCGAACACTTTTCATCCATGCTCCCTAATTTAATGTGTAAAAATGCAAAATAAATCAACAAAAATCATAAAACAATCCTCAAAACATGACTAAATAGAATCTAAAGACAGAGGGAATGTGTCATGTGCTAAGAGAGATATATTTTTTTAAAATAATCCTTCAAAATCTCACCCATGTAGCTGGGAACGTATGTTCGTTTGTCCAGAGAACTAGAGTTAACAGTAACATTTTCCTGACTGTAATCAGAAGTTCCAGATCTGGGTAGAGTGTTGCTGACAACTCCACTGGTGGATGCCTCTCCGTTCATGGATGATTTCTCCAAGGCTTTCAGCTCCATCTGATCGTGGTGGATCCACAGGTCCGGGGGTTTGATGTTTGTCTTCTGAGCTGGATCCTTCATGTAGCTTTTTTTACGATCCGGAGAGTCTGGATTGCGTTTGCAGCAGACAAAGACGACGACGATGGCTATTCCTGTCAGGAGGACGATGGAGCAACCCACGATGACGTAGATGAATACTCCGGACAGGCCCTTGCCGTCTGAAAGGGTTCGTCATTCGTGACCACCAGGTCACAAAGATTTTGAGAAAATCATTTAATAAAAAATAAAGTCAAATAAAGTCAGGCATTGAAGGTCAAATGACACTTAATAAGGTATGGGCTTGAAGGGTCAAATGGTCCTTGAAGAGTCAAATGGCTCTTCAAGGGTCAAATAAATTTGAGTAACGTAAGGGTTTAAGGGTCTAATTCTACTTCACCCTCCACTAAAAACAGAAAAATGTTCAATAAAAAACAAAAAAATACAAAATTACCTCGGTCATGCAAATCGTCATAGTAATCCATTCCATTGCCTACACAACGACAAAAAAAAATATACATAAATGAAAAAACAGCACCTTTAAAAAAACAGAAAGAAACATTAACATCGAAAATAGTTTTGAACTCACTGGGAAGTGTCTTGAACATCACCGTCGAAGAGAACGGTCCATACCCCTTGAGATTTCTCGCCTGCATCTTAAAGTAGTAAGTGGTGCCAGGCCTGAGGCCCTTGACGACATACTCCGTCCTATTCCCGACGATGCCCTCCACCAGCCAATCCCTGTCGCGCTTCGTGTTGTCCGTGGAGTAGGACAGAATGTACCCGATGATCTGGCCATTGGGTTGTTTAGGCGGCTGCCACTTGAGGAGAACCGAGCTAGGCCTGTCCTCACTTCCCTGAACGACGAGATCCCTCGGGGAAGTGGTGGGTGCAGCCTCCTGGGTCGTGTTCAGGACAATCATACTCCAGGGTGACTCTCTCTTACCTTTAACCGTTTTCACCGTGAATTCATACTGCGTGTTGGGCTTGAGGTCATCTATCATGCAGTTGAGATCACTCGCGTTGAAGTATTTGTACTTCGGGTTGAAGGAACTGGGGTGGTAGGAGATGTATCTCACCACGTAGTGCCTGTTCCGGAATCATTTTTTTAGATATTTCCCATTAATTAATCCCCCCTCCCACAGGGAAAAATATTACCTGTTATCAGTCACATACTGGCTCTTCGACAAAGAACTGTCAGTCCAGTACAACACGACAGTGTTGGCAGAGAGAACAATGGCCTTGAGCCCGACTGGAGGTATGAGAGGGGCCAGTGACTCCGGTACAGACTTCTCAGTTGTCCTGACATTGTCGTATATGGGTGGACCGTCCCCAGCTTCGTTGGTCGCCCTCAGAGTGATGACATACTCTGACAGGGGCTCGAGATTCTCCAGCGAGAAGAACCGTTGCTTACCGTCGAGGCGTTGAGTGTAAACATCGGGATAGCCCTTGCCCCAACCCACAATATACCCGCGAACCTTGATACCGTCGTCCTTGGGAGGACTCCACCGGATCGATATAGAATCGGCCATCGCCTTCCAGTCTAGTGCACTTGGGGCCGAGGGCACCGTCGACTCGTCGAGATCATTCTCGTAAGTCTCTATTGGCATCCACTCAGTCCAGGGACCTATGCCCTTGGCGTTTAGAGCGGCGATGCGGATGTGGTAGACCACGTGACGCTCGAGGCCGGTCAGGGAGTAGAGGCGTTGGTTGCCTGGAGGGGAAATTAGTTTTCTTTCGTGAGTGATCGAGTGGGCGGGGCTTGTGGTCCTCTCTTCCCACGCGCTGCGCGCGCAGCTGTAGGGCGGGGGGAACTTGCGCGTGGTGGGGACTGGCATATATAACGCACGGCTCGAAGCATTCGCGTCGGTCTTTCACAGACTGACCAACTATTGACACGTTGACTCGAATTGTGTTTCATCGAGTCGTCGCGTCACCGGAAGGTTTCAAATTTGCGGCAGAAAATTTTTTAAAGTCTCTTTTCGAAATTCGTTTCGTTACTTAAAAAAAAAATCAGTGTTCTGTACCTGTACGGGAAGCTCGTTGCCCTCCCGCGGGCAGAAAGTGCGGACTTTCCTCTCAGAAAAGTATTTACTTTCCGTTAAAAATCGTGTTGCTACAGAAAAAGAATTCCACCTCTTCTTTTGATTTGAAACTGCGACGAATTATCGCGATTACTCCTCTTTTCTTAAAATGCCTTTTCTATAATCGTTTCGTTACTTAAAAACAATGGGCTTTGCATTCTGAACCTGTACGGAAAGCAAGGAATTCTCACTATGTCATAAATCTGAAAAATCACTCACCTTCAGTAGTGATCGTATCAGAAGGATATCGCCTGTCCTGTCTCCTGTACCGAATTTTATACCCCGTGATGATGCCATTCCGTCCCTCCAGGGGAGCTTCCCACCTGACGATGATGCTCGTCGAACTAGCCGCCTCAAGCGTGACATTGTGAGGTGGCTCAGATGGCGGAGCGCTGAAAGTCTTGATCGAGATTTCCCCCGTGGAGGCCCCAGGTCCGTTCTCATTAACGGCATGCACCCAGATACTGTACTCTGTATACGGTATCAAGTCTATCAACTCGTGGGTGGTGCTCGTCGTCTCCCGTATTTTTTCGCCTTCCCCCTCGCCCTCCATGTAGGTGATGACGTATTTGGAGATGCGACCATTGAGGACCTTGGGCTCCTGCCATGAAAGTTTGATGCTGGTGGCGCTGGTCGCCATACCCTCGAGGTTAAGTGGAGGGCCTGGGACGTCCGCCTCGGAGTGGGTGGTCACCCTGAGGGTCTCTGAGGAGGCACCTGCCCCTCGGAGGTTGTGGGCGACCACTCGAAACTCGTAGGTGACACCAGGCTGAAGACTTCTGACCACTGCATCAAGCTGTTTGTGGGCTGTGCTCAGCACTCGTTCCCTAAAGGATTAAGATTGATGGTCATGACACATCAAGAGATGTCTTCGAAGGGATTGCATGTCTTCAATCATCACCTTTGTGAACCCTCCTGCTTGTAATAGAGATTATACGTCAGAGCATCGCCATTCGTGTTCTCCGGCTCTTCCCACCTAAGCGTCACAAACCTCGTCTTGACGATGGCGACACTAAGATTACGGGGGGCTGACGGCACACTTCCCTCAGCTATATCAGGACCATCTGTGTCATCTAGAAAATGGGAGGCAGGGTCGTACAGGGGAATGGGATCGTCAATTTCACGCTGCAAATCCGAGGGGTCGTCCATGGACGGTGGATTTGGGGTGAATGCTGATAATGTATGACCAAGAAGGGTACTAGGATGCTGCCAAGTGTTATTGTACAATCTTTGATGAGATAATTTCTTTTTCTTCATCGATGATTTTGGCGTTGTCGTCTTTGAGGGATTTTTCTCTATGTTAGCATGCGGTACAGTTAGTTGGGGGAGAACATAGGAACGAAAGAAAAAATCACAAATTAACAAAATTAAAAACATTAACTGGATGAAGAGATAGAACTTGTCGTTTTATCACTTCAGGCGAAGGTTTCAAATCATAAAAACTTGATCGATTGACACATCAAGACATTCATCAGCAGTACTCACTCGGCATGTTGATGGTTAGCCTAGCAGCAGCCTGAACACTGCCAGCAGGATTGACCCCGATGCACTGAAAGATCCCGGCATCAATAGCAAGGAGTCCATTGATCCTCAAATTATTGCTGTTGACTAGCTGCCAGTATTCGCTGAGAGTGATCCTCTCTCCGTTCTTCAGCCAAGTTACCCTGGGCTCTGGCTTCCCATAAATCTCGCACTCAAACTCCAAGTCTTGATTCTTGTTCGCCACCTTGTCTTCCGGTCGCTTGACGAATCTGGGAGGTACCTGGACTATGACCTCGGCAACAGCATCAAGTGTCTCCACTCGGTTTTCAGCCCTGCATTGATAGGAACCGTTGTCCTCCTCCATCACGTCAGTGATCATGAGACTGGAGGCTGCCACCTCGCGGTAGCGAGAGTCCAGAGCTGCTAGGTCAACGGTTACGCCGTCCTTCAGCCAGAGGATCGTGGGCTTCGGGTAACCGTTTGCCGCGCACTCCAGGGTGATTGTGGAACCTTCGATCGCGACTTGTTGGTGGGGTTTCGCGACGAATATTGGGGCCGTTGGGGCTTGGTCAAGGTCACTGGTAAGGAGGGAGAGTTGGGCCTTGCCGCTAAGACGGGATTGACCGTAGCCGCTCACGTTGCACCTAAAAATGTATGTGGAAAATGTCCAAAAAACGTCAAAAGTGACGAAAACCCAAGCATTTCATGGATTTCAATCGATTTTAACAATCGTCTCTATATTATATATATCTGAACCGACTTCTGGTCATGAAAATTTGGTACTCGAAATTAAGAGTTAGAAATGAAGGGTCTAAAACCAAGGATCAGAAACTAAGGGCCACAAGCGTCGTAATGAGGATCACAATAAGGGTTTAGCGATAGTCGGAATAAGAATCATAAGGGTCAGATTAACTCTCCATCACTCGCTCTGTGAGCGGGGCGCCGTCAGTTTTCTTTTTTTCAATATTTTAGCGTGTTTATCGATGTTTCAAAATTCTGAATAAATTAGAGTTCCTCGTTCAATTCTTTTATTAAGCGTTGGCATTATCCGTATTTTTCTCGGGAAATTTGTTTACCTAAAAATAGAAAAGAAATGTCGAACGGACAGAAAAATGACGCCGCGACGCCCGGTGCGAGTGAGTCCCTGTTGACCCCTTGAGCGACAGTGTTGCTACATTTACTACCACATTTGGAATGTGCGTAGAGCGGTAAGCGCCAAGGTAGCAACAGCGCGCTCGATTTAAACCAACGGCGCTGCGCTAACCGTGCGACGGATGAAGGCTGGCAGCCGAGCGCTAGTGATCGAGGGTTAAGGGTTGCAAGCGTCGAATTAAAGGTCATATGGGGGTTAGCGAACAGGAGGCCTAGCCCCCTAGTTATTAATAACAATCAATCAAAATCCATGATTTCATCCCTTACCTGTACGCCCCCACATCGTGCGTCCTCACATCATCGATCTCCAGTGCCCCAGATGGCATGAGACTCATCCTGCTGTCATCAATCACCAGAGGATGTTCGTCTTTCAGCCATTGAACCCTAACTCTACCCCTCTCAATCACCGGCAATGAGCAAACGAGATAAGCTATCTGCCCCAGATACACCATTGTCTCCCGCGGCTCCTCCTGGAATTCCGGAAGCGTCGCGACCTTGATTTCTGCAGCCCTTGACACAATTGCCCCGACATTATCGACAGATGCTAAACACTGATACTTTCCCGTCGTCTCGGCATTGTCCGAGGTTACACTCGTTACGTAGAGTGATCCATTGGCCAATTGTGAGCGATAACCATCGCCTATGAAATTTATGGACTGACCATCCTCACTCCTCCATTGAATGGTCACTGGACCAAAGGCACTTGAAGCGGTACAGTCTAAACGCGCTGGGCCACCCTCCTCCACTGTTGTGTCTTCGGGCTCCACTTTGAAGTGGAGGGCAGATGTTACCGACACTGAAAGCCATATGTAAATATTTTTCCAGGTTCTTTAGGGGAACCAAAATATCATGGTATATGGAAAATCTGGGAATTGTTCTTTTTTCGGATTTCATGTTTTTTTTGTTGGGTGATGTGAGACAGGGAAAATGACCTTTTGAGGCTTTTGGCGTTCTTAATAAACATTCGCAGACTGCGCATGCGCAATCTGTGCAGACAGCTGCGCAGTAGTGTCACGAGTAAATCCACGCAATTTTATTTTTCTCTTTCAAATTTTCGCAAAAAATTTGCAAAAAAGATAGGTCTGTTCAGAAAATGGAGGGAAATGATTAGTTTATTGGTGTCCCCTTGGACAGAAACGCTTTTGCGAATAAATATCCTTTCGGTGTTTGAGTTTCTCCGAGATAATTAAATAAATGTGACATGAAAATAATTTTGAAATTTTCCATAATGAAATTGCCGCGTGTAAATATTCTTTCTGGTTCTCTAGCGGAACTCAACTATCACTATAGGGGAAAATGTTCGGGTAAAGATGGCCCTTGCGAAACGTTCGGTAACCTAAACAAACTGCGCAAACTGCGCATGTGCAATCTGCGCAGAAAGTTGTGCAGTAGTGCCGCAAGTGAATCCGCGCAATTTTCGTTATCTCTTCGGATTTTCAGAAAGATTTGGAAAAAGAAAAAGTTAAATCTGACAATGCAGGGAAATGATCAATTCATCAGTGTTTCCTTTGACAGAAACGTGTTTGCGAACAAATATCCCTTTCGATGTTTGAGTAGTCTCCGGGCTAACAAAATGAAACGGAGATAATTTTGAAAGTTTCCACAGTGGAAATCGTGCCTTCGAATCAAGTGATACATATTCCTCTGTGGACATTTCGAGGGAGTTGAGAGGGTGTGGGCAAACAAAAGGAATACCTCAGACTCGAAATATACAGCTGGCACGCGTGCTTTTGTTACGCTCATTGTGCCCGATCAAAAGAGAACTGTCTGCCGCAAACAAAATAGGAAAGAAAAATCTGATGGAGTGGAATGAAATCTGTTCAACTCAGGCGGAATTCAAAATCCGAGGAACGTGGGTCGTGGGGGGGGTGGGCGCTCCATATTTCCTATGAATTTTCTCAACGAAAAAATTCCGGAAAAATTGTTCTCATCGTGAAAATCATTCATGCCACGAAGAAAAATTTAAGAAAAAAAATTTAAGAAACACTTGAGACTATTTTACCGGTGTGGATGATTCAATGAAGCAATAAATAAATTCAAATCGTATTCTAGAATCGCTTATCCAGCCCCTCTACAGCCATTTGCCGGTGGTTGTACGGAAGGAAACAAACTCAAACCCCCTATCCAGTGGAAATTTATATCCCTCGTTCTCGTTTCTCAACTTTCTTTGCTCCTTGGTATCGCAGCCAACTGTGCATACACGGTCTCCTCACGGTATATCCGGGGAATAATTTCTAATGTCCCTTGGGGAATCAATTCAGGGGACATCAGATGTGGTTGAAAAGTTGAAGATGACAACATTAAAAAAAATTTACTTTCGTGTAAAAAAAATAGTGAAGAGATTTCTTGTGGAAAAATTATTTTGCTTACTATTTAAATGAAAAATTGAACGATAATTAATTATGAATAAATGAATAATAATGACAGTAATAAGTGGAACAGATTTTATCTAAAAAAATCGTGGACAAGAAATTTTTGTAGAAGATTGAATTTTCTTCTCAAAATGATTAATTAGATTAATTAGATAAATAATTAGATAACGAACCTATGTCCTAGTGTTGAGAAAATCCAGAGAAAATTTTCTTTTTCATGGAGAAATGCAGAAAAAATCCCGTTCTATAAAAAATATTAGTGAATGTTCGTCAGTTTAAAAGGGAAAATTCCACTAATTCATCAAGCGCCAGTTCATTCACTCGAAAAAAATCGAGTAACAAATGACTCTTTCGAGGAATTCGAGCCGATTCGCTAACTCAATTAATCACCCTTACATCCGTTCGTCCACCCCACAAAAACCATTTTTACGCCTGTCTTTCCCTGTAATTTGTAAGCGTTACCACAAAAAAACAACTCCACTTTTATTATTTTCTGAGAACCTGTATCAATATCATCATCGCGGCTGTCTATAGGTATTGGTAACACAAGGGAGGAAGTTATACCGATAATTAACGAGTGTCAGTCGAGTCGTTTGTGGCGTTTGGTCGTCCATGAGCCGCTGAACACACGCTATCTGCATGAAATTGTGGATAAAATCAACTTTCAAACCCCAAAAACCAGAAATTTTCCTTGAAAAAAATCCTCTTCATATTAATTTCTAGTCTCTTAAGGATATCCAAGTACTGTGGCTATTTTTCCTTCAGTGAAATGCTCTTCTGCCTTTGTAGTTGAACATCAGAGTTTTCATTTTACAATGATTTTATTATTTAAACTTTGCAGGTTTGAATGTGAATCTCGATATTGAACCGTTAGAAAACATTTTAAAAATCTGAAAAAAGTTAGAAAGTTTACTTTTGGAGGAAAATTGATTGAATAATATTCAAATTGCAATTTTGGAAGATTACGAGCATTTTCTATTAATAATTTATAAAAAATCAATTTTTCACCATGAAAATCATTTGTTCGGAATCGTAACAAATTCATTCATATTCAGAATTTTACCAAAAATCGTTTTCATGGCTAAATAAATGAGGTTTCCAAAAGTTTAAACAATTACAGTTATTTATTTATTGACGAAGAAAGTTCAAAACAAATAGGAAATTGTTTTGTGCTAATGAATTAGCAATATGCTTCCGGATAGGGATTTTGCACGTCATTTCCTTTTGTCATGTATAATTCAGTAGCGAAGTGGTAAAAGGAGATGAGTCAATTTTGACCATTGACCATTTTTCAATCAACATCTCGGAATCTAATTTAGATAGCGGAATTTTCGTAATTATATTTGTTGCAGCACTCAATCGGCTCCATAAAAAAGGTTGTAAAAAAAATTTGGCTATCTCCCTTAATTTCCGAGATATTGATTGAAAACTGATCAATAGTCAAAATTGACTTGTCTCCTTTTACCACTTCGCTACTGAATTCATTGTTTATTTCATTTTATTGAATTGAATACGATTTATTTTTAACCAATTTTGTCAGATTATCAACTTTGTTGATTGTTATCATGATTATGATTCTTATTATCCCTTTCTTCTATACAACTGTTTTTTTATAGTTCTATCTCTCCGCTCAGCCCTTCAATAGAATGTTAATAGAAAAATTTTATTTACACATACTTGAATGAATTTGAAACATCACATCTGAAGAAACCATCAGGAAGCTCACTTTCAGGAAAATTCATGAAAAATTCGAAATTTTCAACAATCATGATAAAAATCAAATCAACCAATATAGCTATCGTAATCATCTTTCAACTTCGACTAATGGCATTGAAACAAACATTTTAAACTATGATTGAATTCATTTGAAGCATGATATTCAGAGATATCCCCGGAATACTGATTTTCAAAAAATACAAAATTTTTGCAAATTTTCCAATAAATCAAAATAACGATTATTGCTATCGCCTTCATCTTCAAACTCGGTCAAAAGGAAATCCAAACAAATTTTTTGAGTCATCACTCAATCAATTCGGAAGAGCTTTTTTCAGTTATCGTGGAACAACTGATTTTCGAAAAAATTCGAAAATTGAAAAAACTAATCGATGAATTGAAATTTAATTAATGGCGATTAATAGGACTCAACAATACCTACATTTGAAAAAAAAAAGATTCAATTCCATCAAGTTATTAGCGAACAATTAGAAAGCTTCCGTTCGGAAGTAAAAAATAATAATAATTCTGTGCAAAATGTAAATTCATTGCTGAATGTTTAAGCTTTTTTTCATTCTAATTTTTCTCACGAAAGTTAATTGACAAATTTGATGACTGAGAATGGCTGAATCTATAGTGTGGTCTGTACCAAACTGTAAAAGATACTTGGATATCCTTAATGAATGAAATGTTCACTTCGTTTGAATGGAGAAAATTTTTTTCGGGGAGAAAAAAAATACAAAAATAGGCTCTGTTGAAATGTGAATTCTGATTGAAGGATCCACACGAGTGTCAGTAAAAATAATGGATCTATGTTTACATTGGCTGAGACACTGAAAACGACTTTATTTCCCCTTCGTCACTTCAGACATTTAACATGGTAAAGAAAAAGAGATGGAAATGGTCTTGTTTAGGTTCTATTTCCGTATGGCGCGTGGGACTGCGGTAGGTAAGCAAGTGAGCCCTTCATGTTTTTATTTATTTACCCTTTTTTCAGTGTCAGATAAATCAAACCGTGAGGGAGGATTTGTTTGCCTCATAAATTTTACCCCAAACCTTAACAACGAATTCTCAAAAAAGGGGAATTTTTTTTTCATGATTTCTCTGAGGACATCCACACTCCAATGACAATTCATAATTTTTCATTATTTATTTTCGTATTCGATTAATCAATAAACCTGAAGATGAAGCGAATAATGGATTTAGTGAATTGAATTCACCGTCTCAAGTCACCTTATTTCTTAATACAATTGAGAAATAACTGAGCGAAATATCTTTGTCATTGCGAACCTCAATTATTATGGGAATATAGCCGAGGGGTGGCGCCTATCAATTTAAAAAATCGCCATGTCGTGAATGATTGGTGGATGTTTAAATGTCTCGACGTTGCTAGTGCATACATATCTAGTTAACCGGGTTTTTTGTTTTTCATTTTTATTCAAACACTGAACAAATTCATGAGCAAGTGTTTTATTCAGTCAATGTCTCTCGCTGAGTATTAACGCTCAACAATACCTCTATATTCAATAATTAATCATTCATCATTGAGTGGAATTTTTCAGAAATAATGCAATCCTTAGTTAACAACACAATCCAACAATTCAATTGATTAATTATTCTCCATCCTCTTAATCCCAAATGATCATCTTCCAATATAAAAAATGTCAACACCTCAATGATGAAATTTTATCATAATTTCTCTGGAGTCATT